ATTTATTTAGCATAACTATGTGCCAGAGACTCTACCGTCAGTGGAGATCTAAAGTTTAAGGAAGCACTATGAATCTATTGGACTTCCCTTCTTAAAGGTCATCATCTGATTTTTCTTTCAAACCACATCTGAAGCCCTCCTTTTGCAAGCTTTGCACTGATAGGTAAAGAGAGACAGCTTTCCCCCGGAGCAGTCCCAGTGAGGCATGTCACACCCAGCGTCACCTCTGTCCTCGTAGTCCCACCATGGCCTGTGTATTTGCACAGTGTATGAGCTTTTTTTTGTGTTGGTTGGCTGGTTGTTTAAGTAGGTGTGTTTTATATACCTCTGTTCATTTCTAAATATCTGTCTCAGGTAATTTCCTTCCAGAGGCAGAATAACATCATGTTATACAGCCTTTAATACAGCGCTGTGTACATGTGGCTGTTCGGTTTTGGTTTTTATGGTAATGTAATTTTTGAGCTAAATTCTTTTTCTTTTGGGATTTTGGTGAACTGTTGTGATAGAGACTACAGGAGCTCAATTGTGTCAGTTGCTATTTAAACTAAAACATCAAGTATATACACGATCTGCATGCCTGTCAAAACCCCCCAGGAAAATGGAAGGTTGGTTAAAGTAAGGACAGGGGAGGCTAGAAAGATTTATGGGAGATCTACAAAACCTATTCAAACCCTCTAATGTATCACCGCCTTTATCGCAAGTCTGTTTTTATAGCAGGCTTGCATGATGTGGGTAAAAGATCGAAGCAACCCTAGGTTGGAACTTGGTATCTGCTGCCTGCCAGCCATGTGAGCTTGGGCGGGTGGTTTACCCACATCTGCAGGATGGGCTTATCATACCTGCCTGGCAGGATTGTGTTGAAGGTGGAACGCATGAGTATTTATCCCCGATGCAGTCCTGTGTTGGAAGGGGTTGTGCCTTTGAATTTTCTCTCTCCCCTAAAACCTTGGACTTCATTGCTCTTATTTGAACCTTAGCTTTGGTGGGTGTATCTTTGAGCCCCCCCCCCCCATCCTGATGGT